GGAGACTGAATTAATCATATCCACTGACTTCCCTAGATTGTTACCGAGGGTCAGAGACTATGACCGAATGCACATTTTAAAAAAGGTCACATGGCCAACCTGGAATTTATCTCTAGGAGACTATCTCCCTTAAACTAATCAGTCGTGTTCCTTTGTATGTATTTCTGAAACAGAGGAGCAGCTGCCAGATCCTGGTTTGTGCTGGTGTTGAAATGTGAGCAGTTTCCCAGCTACCACCATGATAGGTCCTACTGTGGACTTTTGTGCAGGAATTTCCTGGGATGACCTCTGTACCCAAGCTATGGGACTATAGGATTGGTCTGTGGATTGTCCTTGGACAGGGCGGGGAGGCTTAGACTGTACATTTTGTAGTCTGACAAGTCAAGCAATGAATGTTAGCTGGCTGCAGCCATTCATCCCAGTTCAGAAATATGGGGAGTGACCTTAAGACAATAATTGCCCATCCTTTTCAATTCCAAAGCTGTAATGTCATGGCAGGAAGTGAGATATCTTAAAATCAAAGTGCTAATGTGGCCATGTAACAATTTAAACACAGATCGTAAGTCTTACTGGTGCATTCCAGTGAAAATACCTGTTGTATGAGTTACTTTTTGAAGTCAGTAAAATTTCTTGTCTTTTAAAATTTTTGATTTCTTTTCAGAACAAAAATTTATTTACCCTGTGTGCCTGTGATTTTGTTTTCTTCATCTATCCCTGTGCTTTAGAGTGGCTATCTGGTCAAATCCTTATTTGAAAATACAGGTATTTTCCGTCAGATGCAAAAATATATCGCAGGCAAGGTATGATTTCCCCCCACTTCGGCAATTCTGAGAAAACTGTGGTCTGTCTCTCCCCCACACACCTTAATATTGCCTTATCAGTTTCTTTTATTATTACTATTATTATTACTGATGACTTCATTCTGCTTGAATTCAATGCTTCGGTTTCTTTGGGAGTAAACTAATAGATTATGTATGCGATATTTGCCCAGCCCTGATTGAATTCATCTGGTGGTTCATATATTCATGTAATTGTCAGGAGCCCAGCTGAAATGCAGAACTGTTAAAGGATTGGGCGTCACAATAATTTCACATTGCTTGGGGCTTGAAGCTGGTCTGGGGGGAGTTTTTCTGTTTTTTAAACACCGTTCATATTCCTCCCCTTGGCTAGACTTAAATCTTTCAAAAGCTAATGCTTGTAACTGTATTGGTGTGGGTAGTTATGGAGGGGAAAACCCTCAGAGACTAAATTTGGTATTTTATGCTTAGGGAATAAAATAGTGCTATACAGTCGCTTTCCCGGCTCAAATAACCTCCTCCCCATTCCCACTTTCAGAAGAATTTTACTGTTGTTTTAGTATAGAACTTTGTAGCTCTGTCCCACAGCTAAGATGTGGGGAGATCGGCTGATGAAAGATCTCTATGTCTGTTGTAAAGCATACAGGGGTTTGAATTTTATAGAGCCCTTAGTATTTAAGGCTGTGGGTCAGAATAAACTTGCAGCTACCCTGCTGAGGACATATTAGACGATAATAATCTTAGAAGTGCAGAGCTGGAAGGGGCCGTCTGGATCGTTGAGTCCAGCCCCTGTCAAGGAGGCACAGTGGGGAATCGAACCCCCAACCTCTGTCTCCACAGGCAAATGCCTAAACTGCTGAGCTATCCAGCACGTTTGGTGCATCACAGAAAATGCCAAGGATAGTTGAGTATTGCTGAGAGGTCATCATACTTTAACTACAGTGTGTCCATTAAGGACAGTGTGTTGTGTTGCATTGTGTTGTGAAAACATGGGTACCGGCAGCATGGTGCATTCAATCTTGTATCTGAAGACTGAGGTGCAGATCTTTAAGAAGAGCTACTGCACAAAACTAGGTAAAAAGGAAAAGCTGTGAAAATCTTGGCCAGAGATGCTTGTGAATGAAAAATGTTCCAGGCAGAAGGAACTTCCTAGTCGGAAAAATCTACTGATATATGACTCTTGCATGTGACAGTTGTGTACATTTCCCAGTGGACACCCTACAAAGTCACTGCTAGACAGCTGAATGCAGAGAAATGTTGGAAACAGTGGAACTTTGCTGTCAAGTTCTGTGGTAGCCTGTAAAACAGGCAGTCTAATATTTTAGTACAAATTCATTCAAATGTATATGTGTATTTATGTGGTTTTTTTTAATATTCCATTTGCATGGTAGATGTTATTTAACTTTGTTCCCATAGTTTGCTTATATTGTTCTCCCAAGAAGTCCCCTCTTGCCTTGCATAGAATTTATTCCCTCTTCCTTGACAGACAATCCCTATATTTGGGCAGATGTAGCAAATGTATATGGCATCTATAAATGTCACTGTGAATCAAATTAGTTTAATATTCTTATATTTAAAACCACAGAAGACAGGAGAAATAAATCTTGGCCAGCTCACAGTCCTCCCCTTGCAGCACCACCTCCACCACCCTCTGGCCTTTATGGATACAACACAAGCTTAACAGGGCTGTAATTTAGAGTTGCTACAGATCATGGCATTGTAAACGTCACTGTTCCCGCCATGCCACCAGGACATCTCAGCCTTCTCGGAGAACTTGCTGCTGGGATGGGCTGTGGACAAGATTTGTTAGGTGATAGATAAAGTAAGACAGAGCTGGGGCATGACTAAATGAGGAAAACTAGGGATACAGGAATGCTATCTGCTTTGATTAAATCCAAATTATTTCTCTTATGTGTTATAACAGTTGCTTTGAGCTGATTTATAACCCAATCCAACTTGATTTTTATCCAAATGTTTTAAAGTATTTGTAATTATTTGTATTTGTCCACATAGTGGAATGCTGTGAAAATGGGGAAAATAAAGGACTGTGATCCGGGATGAGGGAGCAAAATTTGGGGGGTGGGGGTGGAGGAGCAGAAGGCCAAGACAGGCAGAAGACGGTACTTGCCTGCTTGGTTACCTCATTGAACTGACATGTTTTTATTGAGTTCGTGAGCAGACAGATTAAAAGATCAAAAAAGCTAAACCAGACTTGCCAAAGGCAGAGACAGATAGCAAATAAATAAAATTAAAATAAAAAATAAACCAGCAGCAGATATAAAGATCTATGAGTTTTGAGTTTAAATTTGAATTTTGTTTGCTGTTGCCTCTGAGTGTTTTGAATTGTTTTTATCGTGTGTTTTGTGTTTGGTGGGTGGTGGGTATGTATGTGTTTTCAGTTATTGTTAGCTATCCAGAATAGTGGCTTTCCACTGGATAGTCAGGATTGAAAAGAAAGAAAGAATGAATGAATGAAAGAAAGAAAGAACAAAAGAAAAACAGTGCAAGAGTTTTGTCTCTGCTTTAAAAAAATAGGATAAGGATAATCTCAGAACTGCAGAGCTGGAAGGAACTCTATGGATCATTGAGTCCAACCCCTGTCATGGAGGCGCAGTGGGGTAATCAAACTCTTAAGCCTCTGGCTCCACAGCCAAATGCTTTAAACCATTGAGCTGTCCACCAGTTCCGTTTGTGACCTATTTTGAATGCTATTCTGACCAAAAACATTCAGTGAGCTGTCCACCAGTTCCGTTTGAGACCTACAGTGGACCCTCGACTTACAGACGGCTCGACTTACAGACTTTTCGAGTTACAGACTTCTCTGGCTGCAAAATTTAGATGCGACTTGCAGCCAGAGAATCAACCTACAGACCAGAAAAAAACCAAAATGGAATAAAAATAGAATAAAAACCACTGGTTATGGGATTAATCGGTTTTCAGTGCATTGTATGACTTGCAGCCACCATTCCAATATGGATTAATTCCTTAAGTAGAGGGTCCACTGTATTTTGAATGCTATTCTGACCAAAAGCATTCAAATTTCATGTGAGAGACCTGAGACATCCATGCCACAAACCTCATATACACAGGCACCTGTACGAACATCCATGTTTTTAGTTGGTTTTTGAAGATACCCAGCGAAGGGGCCGCACAAATCACCGGAGGGAGATTGTTCCAGAGGCGAGGAGTCACCGCCAAGAAGGCCTGGTTTCTAGTTCTTTCCTTCTGGGCCTCTCTCGGCGTCAGGCTCCTCAGCCTCACCTCCTGACTCGCGCAGGTAATACAGGTAGACCCTGGCGGAAGCAGGCGTTCCGCCAAATATTGAGGTCCTAAACCGTTTAGTCGAGGTCCTAAACCGTTTAATTAATTCTTCCAAGCATGCCTGCCTGCCTGCCTGAAAATTAAAGCCATGTGAAGAGCAACCTATAAGAAGCTAACCACCTTCACCGCCCTGCCAAGATGCAAAATGGCCACTGATGGCAGGGAACCTGCCCAGGGGTTCAGTGGTCTGGATTTCAGAAGAGCTTGGGGTTTCCATTGTTGCTTCAGTTGTCAATCCCACTCTGTTTTGGGCCTCCTGGTTCCCTTAACAGCATTACATTCATTTCCTAACTGAGACTTGTTGGTGCCTGCCGTGCATTGCCTCTCCCTAGAAATTCAGCATTTTAAAGACAAAGTCTTCACCAACAAAGAGCTCTGGAGTGAAAAGGAAGGAGGAAACACGAAATATTTAGCCTAGCTAAGCCACTGCTGGCCACAAAGAACAAAGGTTTCTTAAAAGCATAGATGTTTTAAGTATCAGGTTTAAAGAGTAGTTGGGGTGTGTGTGTTTTTTTCTGATGGGAAAATGTTGAATCCAGAGTAATACATCCCTTTGTTTGTAATGGTTTCCATATCTATTGGCATAGATATCTTGCAAGCTCTAGATTGAATCATAATAAACTAGTGGCATTAATATTACATCGTCTTCTGCTTCAGTTGTAAAAAAAAAACAACAACTAACCCACAGTCTTTCACCATCAAGATTTTGAAGTAAAATATAAACATGTGAGCAAGGGCCCTAGCTAGAATGTGCATGCCTGTTTTTATTTTCCACATATAGAAACCAACAAGTCCCACCTCCTTAATGAGTTGAGTAATATGCTAGTATGGGATGAAGATGCATCCACATATTTATGCAACATTTCTTCTTCCTTTATGCAGTGACCGTCTGGCAGTTGGAACTGCAGAACGCATCCAGAAACTAAGGAAAGAATACCATCAGGCAAGGCGAGAAGGCTTACCTTTCGGTGATGATGATGAAGGCAGAGGAAGGCTGCCTGATCCACACTGGGTAGGTGTTCAACCAAAGCCTAAGGAATAAGTATGCAGCCTATACTGCTCATCTAGGGAGCAGTCATTTATTGAGCCATCATTTATTAGTGTGTGATAGTGTTTTTAAAAAACGCTATCTTGTTCTTTGCCTCAGACGGCAAAATATCTTGAACTGGCTTTGCATCTATGCTATAATTTGAGAATATAATTTTTGTATGACCTGAACTAGGATTAAGCGGTCTCGTTGTAAGTATGGATGTAGAAAGTTGTGTGGTCTCTTAAATACACTGTTCCTATATGACAGAGTTCCTGGTAGATTTGTACAGTGATCTTCCTTCAGCATGAGTGGAGGCTGAGATTTTTGTTTTGTTTTATACATTATAGTAGTACATTTAAGTAACAGAGTTATTGAAGTCCAACGATCAGAAATCGCGCTTTAATCCAACAGATTATCCAAATATGAAGCTGTGTTGAAATTCAGGGCTGTTAATTGCTCATCATTAAACGTGTACCTGTCTGTTCTGTGCACATCTAATTTGGTGAGCCTCTACCTAATGGAAAAGCCCTCCCAGTTAGTCAGGTGGGATAACAGGCCCCACCATACCAGATCAACTCATCCAGTCCATGTTTAGAGAGCTACCAAGGCTTTTGAAACCCCTGTTGTTGGGCTGTACTCAAATGCTAACCCCTTTCCGCTTTTTTAGTTGGCTCCATTAGAAATTTTGCTATTGGAATTCTCTGTCAATAAATAAATTTAAGAAACATGTAATCAGACATAAGTCAGTCTGATTTGTCACACAGACAAAATGTGAGGGTTTATTTTGAAAAGGAGCAGGGGCAGATGGAGAGAGGGAGAGGGAGAACCTTTCTCCCACCTCTGTTTATAAATAACATGCCTATGCTGCCGTAGTAGCTGTTTACAAAATAGTTGATATCCTGGCAGATAATCCAGACCTAGCCAGTGAAGCTTTGGGAACTGGCTGAGGATTCCTCTCTTTTTTATCAGTCCTTGAAAGGCTTTATTACCTTGCCAAATATGGCCCCCATATAGTCTCCAAAGCTTCTCAAAGGTCCCTTCTGGGTAATCCCCTTTAAGCCATTTCTATTAGGTGTAATAAGATTACGGATTCCCAAGGCGACATGTTTTCTGTGAGAGCAGGAGTTGTTAATCAAAGCACCCAAGATAGCTTTAAAGCTCTCAGTCTCTGTGATTAATATCAGGAGCCTCCAGATTGTTTCCATTTCTCATTCAAATGCGTCTGCACTAACCTTAACACAAAGGCTTTAGGGCAAGAGTTGTGGAGGGAGGATGCTACCCTGCTGGCATCTTCTTCCTCCAGATGTTTCGATGCTTCTTGAGTACCACTGCACAGGCTCTCCTCATCCCCCATGCTATTTGGTTTGGAAACAAGTTGTATCACAAAAAGGGGCAAAAGAGCTTTTGCCCTGAAATAAACCTACCAGGAAAAGAGAGGGTTTTTCTTTGATGCTTTCTTGACATTTTTTTTTGCCTTTGTTTATTTCAAAGCCTTTGAAATGAACAAAGGGCCTCTCAAGAGTAGGGGGACTCCTTTGCATTCCCCTTAATCTTTTTCAGTGTTTTCTAGCTGACCACTGGCCCTGTTTCCATTCTGCCATTAGTCCTTGCTCTGTGTCTAAACAAAACAGTGGGGTAGGTTCAGTTTGGAAGGCTCTTGTCCGCTGTAGGTAACCTGCTGCTGTGTGGTGCAATACCTCAAGCGCTGCCTGACCATCCTGAGGTTGCTCATGTAGTCCTCACTCATCATAGGTTGTGTTCATCAGAATTTAGCTCATTTTCAAACCACCTTTTCAGTCTGTTCTCAAGTGGAATTTCCTTCCACATCTACTTATATAAGAACTTTCCTTGAGGGAATCAAATTCCCCCCTGGACATTGGTTAAATTTGCTGGATCAGGAATTTGTTTTCTCCTGGGAGCAGTGCAACTCTCTCTAAAGGTCAACCATAAATCACTGATACCTGCCTTTCCTGGGGAAATGTCTCATGATATGAGGCACACTGTGGCTGAAAATGTGCTGTTTCTATGCGTCTATACCGCACATATGTGTACAGGATAAATTTGTTGTGACTGCGCCTTCAGCCAGGGTACATTTTGTGGCCATTATGTGATACAGGAAGTACCCTCCTCACTGAATCTGACAAAATTAACCTATTATTTTCTTGTTGTGTTCTAGAAATCTCTCTTTAAAAAAAAGAAAGAAAGAAAACATTCTTTCTAATGAGAGTATTTCCTCTGTATCTAGTCTAACTAAACAACTACTTCTGTTGTGGAACTATTGCCACCCTCTACTGTACTCAGCTGCACTTGCAAAGAGAAGGTGTTTCTCCAGATATTTAAAGAAAACTGGACTTGGGAACAGAAATGATAGGTTAGCACTATTTGTGTGACCTTTATATTTCTGCATGCAGGAAGCTTATCATATTAGGATTGCATGAAGTCATATCTTCCCCAGGAGCAGTATGAATTGGTGCATTAATCACATTTAATATGGGATCTTGCATATTAACCAGTCTGGAATTCCTGAAGCAGGTTTTCAACTTGATCATTTCCTCTAAGTATTGCAACAGATAAATGATCCAGGCTTATTACAAATCCAGACTTCCATTTATTTCTCATGACTTATCTGAGGGTTGGATCCCACAGATATTTGTCCCACAGTCTGGTCTGGTTTTGGCACAGCTTCATTCACTCTTTTTCCCACCAACCAGTGTACATGCTATTCCAAACTAGGCTGTCCCTGGTCGAAGCCTGTCAGGGGCTGCTATTTTTTTCCTGTAGGTAGGATCACTCCATTTTGGTTTGCTTCCAGTGTGTGTGATCAGTGGGATCAAACCAAAGCAGCTAGTTTAAGCTCTACCTTTGCTAAAGTCAGTTAAGAATCTTGAAAAATTGAAAACTTCCTTGCCATTTGCCTGTGGAAGGAAAGGGAGATTTTTTTTTCATATTTATTTATTTTATCTATTTAAAATATTTCTATCTTGTCTTTTTCCCCAAAAGGACCAAAAGCGGCTTATCTGTGTAATTGTTGCTGTTGCTTCAGCAATGCTTTGAAAGTGTGTGCATGCAAGTGTGTGTGTCTGTGTGTGCACTAGCACCAAAATTCAGACTTTGGAATTACAGCCCTTCTGTCTCAAAATTTTGAATTTTAAACATTTTTAAATTCTGGAAATTTTAGGCATGTTCTTCATCAATCAGTCTGAGTGCTCCTGCCATCCTTGTTCTTCTCTGGTACATGGACTCTCGGGGGAGAAAAGTACCTTCTGACAACCCCAGTCAGAAGACACTTGAGTCCTGTGCTCCACAGTTGGTACCAGAGGGTCTTAAAGTTTCATTTTTTAAGAAATCACTTCAGAGTTCTTGAGAAACAGGTTTCACTTTCACTTTCACTTCTTCTTCTAACAAACAGATACCTAGCCTTTTGCTTTTTAATCTAGAGGGGTAAATGGGACTCCAAATATTAGGAATTATTATTACAGATATTTTGAACTATCATATTTAGATTCAGATATATTCAGAACTATCTAAATATGGCATTATTTGGTGAATTCTGAATTTTTGTGAATCCAGATGCACATCCCTACTTTCAATGCATTGCTGAGGCACTGCATTAGTTAGCAACAATTAAAAAGGAAAGGTTGTTGTGGGTTTTTCGGGCTTTTTGGCTGTGTTCTGAAAGTTGTTCTTCCTAACATTTCGCCAGTCTCTGTAGCCAGCATCTTCAGAGGATAGCACTCTGTGTTCTGGTTCAGTTTGTTTGGGAGTTGAGTATTTATGGCTGACAGATAATCTCTCTTCCTTATCACAACAATACACCCACAACAAAAACACACTGATCACCGTAATCACCGATCTCCTGAAAAGGAAAAAAGCTGATCTCACAGACATAAATACTGAACTCCTGAACAAACTGCACCAGAGCACAGAGCGCTGTTCTCGGAAGATGCCGGCCACAGAGAATGGCGAAACGTTAGGAAGAACAACTTTCAGAACATGGCCAAAGAGCCCAAAAAACCCACAACAGCCATTAGATCCTGGCCATGAAAGCCTTCGCGAATACATTAAAAAGGAAAGCTTTGCCTTGCTTCCTCTCCATGGGAAGAAAGAATTTTTGGATTTCTCAAGATCATTAAGCCCGGTGGAGGAGAAAGGGGTTGTTATTTTTGTTGTTAATATTTTTTCTTTCCCCTTAAAGATCAGTTTAGATTGTGCTAAAGAGGGTCACCTGTGGTGCAGTGTGGTCTATCCTTGCATGCGGGTGCAAGCATCACCCCAAATGACATTTTTTTATTGTTGTTAGGTGCTGTCAAGTAGTCCCCAACTGATAACTTGCATGAATGAACAACCTCCAAAATGTCCTGTCCTCAACAGCCCTATTGCAAACTCACACTTGTAGCTTCCTTTAGGAAGTTAATCAATTTTGTCTTTAGTCTTCCTCTTTTCCTGCTGTTTTCCAACTTTGCCGGCATTATTGTCTATTCCAGAGAATCCTGACTTCTCATGATGTGCCCAGAGTAGGTCATCCTCAGTGTCAAGATTTTTGCCTCCGGGGATAGTTCTTGATTTGATCTAGGACCCACTTGTTTGTCTTTCTAGCATACCAGGGTATCTGCAAAGCTCTCCTCCAGCACCACATTTCAAACGAATCAATATTTTTCCTGTCAGCTTTTTTAACTGTCCAGCTTTCACACCCATACATGATGACCAAAACTACAAGAGTGTGCACAATTTTGGTCTCCAGTAATACATTCTTACATTTGATTATCTTTTCTCATTTTTTCATTGCTGCCCTTTGTAGTTTCAGTCTTCTGATTTCTGGGCTGCAGTCTCCAACAGGATGGATGATTGAACCAAGGTACACAAAATCTCTAACCATTTCAATTTCTTCATTGTCAAAATCAAAAATGTGTATTTCCTCTGAAGTCACGATTCTGGTCTTGATGTTCAACTGCAGTTTCATACCAAACCTCAAAGCAACCCTGCTTAGCACAATCTAGACCAATCCAGGTGTGGATAATTTGGCCATCTAGTC